GTATCACTAGCTCAGGATTCAATTTAATTTAATTTCTTAGTTTGGAGATTCTCATGCAAAGAAGATTCAAACCTCAAAATGCTATGACATGGGCGTAGGGTTATAATTTCTGGAGGTAGCATTTCCCCTGCCCTCTCACCCAGATTCTCAGAGACACGGTCCCTTGAAGTTTTTCTAAGACAGTAATGCATTTGTCCTGTCCCTCTCCCCATTTTTTAACTGTGATTGCAGCCCTATGGAAGGACCTGAGTACCAACTACATACCTTGTGCCCCCAAGACCTCCTCTGTCCCTGCTTGGGCATCAGGGCTGCTACGTATACATAGTTGTGCAAGATGCATCCTGTGTTGGAGGAAAGTGGGGCCAGAAATCTGGCTCTGTTGAGGGAGCACCTTATTCTCCTTGAGAAGGCACCTCCTTATGATTTCAGTCAGCAGTAAGCACTAAAGAGACTCCAGGGACCCTTCCTGGCAGTCACAGTGGGCAGTATTTGCTTTTGCTTACCACTTTGTCTATTGGTTCTGGCTTTGGGCTGACACCAGGGGCTTTTCTTTATAGCAAGTAAAACTACGATGAATTTACTTTTTAAATTTTGTTATATTCCTTTTCACCTTTTCTGTTTATAGTGGAAAATCTTCTTCATTTGCTTAGTTGACCATATTGCTATATCCAGAATTCCACAGGTTACTCATAACCTCTAGTCGTCACATTCCACGTCTGTAAAATGGGAGTCATAATAGTGTCTGTCTGTACAGTGTTAGTTCAGAGCACACAGTGAGTTCTCAGTCAGTGATAGCCATCCTTATTTGCATCAGTTAAAGCTTGGATTTACCACTTAGGGCAGAGTTGGAAAGGTAGCAGTGGCTGTGTTTACTTACTTAACAAGAAGAGGAAGTCTTAGTTAACTCCCTAGAGAAACCAAAGGAGAAACTTTGTTCGGTATGATACATTGCTGAAACTGAAGCTTCCAACCCCACCCTTTCTGTTGATACGCCAAAGGTCACTTGGCACCAAGAGTGAAGTGAGAGAAATGTCCTCTCAGTATTGCCCTGGAGGATTGCTTAGCGGAGTTTTGCCTGGTCTGTGTGGGTAGGTAAGTTTGAGTTTGTGGAATATTTTCTTTGCTAAGGAGGGCTCTCAAAGGCATAATTATTATAGAGGATGTTTGTAGACCTTGAAACATACAGTGATACTTTTAGTCCCGATAAACTCTTTAACAATCTTTTAAATTCCCATTTGGTATTTCAAATAGATTCTGAATTTGGTGAAATTGGTACCTTGGCTTCTATAAGGTCCTGCCTCCTTGCTTTTTGCTTACAGAGATGGGGATTTAAAGGATTTCCTTCTCTTAGGTCATGGTGTTTAACAGAATAACTTCACCCCCAAAATAGCTAAGAAGAAATCTGTTGACTATTAACAGTTGGGAAAGTACAAACATATCATGCTTTTACAAAATTATTTTTAAATTAATATGATATACAAAATACTGTGATTGTCCTATAAATATTAACTGCTTTGGATTGTTTATACAATGTTAGTTGTACTATGAAAATTTGCTTATTAACCAAGTTCAGACTTAGGTTGTTATTGGATTTGAGTTCACAGACTTAACACTGCCAGATTTCTGTGTAAACATTTTCTTGGGCCTAAAATGTAGTGAATATGTGTATTTAAAGTTTTTTTTTTTTATAAAAAACTCATGTATATTAATGGAACTTGTAAATGTTTAAATAGTCAATTAATGGAAGTTTTTAAAGAACAACTCTTTCAAAAAATCCAATTTTATAATTATGATGTTTTAAATATAAAATTTGAGTTCAGTGACAAATATATATAATTCTTTTATTTGTATTTCTCACCTGAAGATATTTTTTTTCCATTTATCTTCAGATAGAGTGAGAAGGAGGGAGGGAGAGAGAGGGAGAGAGAAAGAAAGAGAGAAACATTGATGTGAGAGAGACACATGGATTGGTTGCCTCCCGAACGACCCTTCCAAGGCTGGGGACTGAACTACCACTGAGGTACGTGCCCTTGGCCAGAATTGAACCCACGACTCCTTGGTCCTAGGGCTGATGCTCTAACCGCTGAGCTAAACTGGCCAGGGCTATATAATTCTTAATATATAGAGATCTATTTTTGTAGCTCTTATCAATTTATTTGTTAATTTAATTTAATTCAGAAAGAACCTTTTGGTTATGGTTCTGTTACTAGGAATTGGTTGCAAGGCTAAGTTTTAGGATTTAAAAATAAACAAGAGCTAATAGCATTGTATCTCAATATGCTAGCTAGAGAACAGAAGTAAACAACTGGTTACATTCCTGTGTTGGTGCTGGGAGGTATAATGCATTCTTGAAGTCAAGTGCCAAGGTTCTGGCTATATTGGTCCTTTTTGAAATCCATTCTTAAAAATGTTGATTTTCATGTAGTGTGCCTATGTTTTATTAAGACTTTCTCCACCATAAGGAAAATTATCCATTTATACAAATTTTCACTACCGGGTGTTGATGCAGCTTTTTGGTAGTATTAGTGAGTGAGGTGACTTGAGATGTTTATGGCCTGATTTAGTTTTACCCTTGCTGCAAAGCTTTGGTCAGCTTTACAGGCCACATTCCAAGGTAGATGTTAGTATTACGTTGAGTATAGATTTCATATATGCCCTGGGAATGTACCTAAAGTAATTTGTTCTCCGCCTACCCAATTCTCACGTGAAGGAGGCTGTCCCTACACCCTGTGCCCAGAGTGCCCGGGAAGAGGCGTCTGGTTTTCAGCAACAAGACTTAGGAGCAGTGTCTTCCATTTAAGTAAATTGCATATAAGAAGAAATGACTATGGAGAGGATAAGATGTTTAGACTAATTTTCTATGTTTAGACTAATTTTCTATGTAAATAATTCTGAAATAAATTATGTAGAGATCTCCTTTCTAGTGTTCAATAAAATTATGTTATTAATTCATCAAGGTAGGTACGGTATTTACTTAGACTTTTAAATAATTGCTTAGATGAGAGTTGTATAAAAATTTTGTGCAGATGATATAATAAAATAGATTATCAGATAGTCCTTGACCATTTACCTTATAGCTGTAATTTAATTAAACAAGTATTCTTTAAAAATTTTTAAATTGATTTTAGAATTAGATTTGTGTACATATTTTTAATTGTTTAATTTGATATGTAAGCACTTAAAAATGGATTTTACAGCTATATGAAAAAGTATCCTTTTTATTATAGTTAAAAGTCATGGCATCTGTATACAGAATCTTGTGTATAGAATATATTAACCAGATTTGGGAATTTGATTGGAAGAAACTTGTGATAGTTTTAATTCTCAATGCATTAAAAAAATTTTACAACAGTTTGTGAAATATTGTCTCTCTGTACTTGGTAATGTAAAATCTGAGCTGAATTATGTGTGTTTCCTACACTTGCTGTATGTAGATCTCATGTGAACATTTGTCCAAGAAGGCTTTGCTTTTAGGATCATTGGTATACAGTATCTTGAGTATTAAAAACACATCGTGTGACATATTTATGTAATTCAGAACCATATTATTTAACTTTACTAATTATATACTAATGATCAGATTTCAATATCTGACAATATAATTATTACTATTAGGTTGCGTGGCATTCTTTGTTTTTCTTCATTGTTTCTAAAAAAAGAAATACTTTGACCTCATTTGCAGGAAATTTTTGTTTTATTCCACTGTTTTATACAGTTTGCCAGACCAAATGACACAGTTAGTATCCATTAAGTAGAGCCCATGAATATCAATCGTGGACACAAAGCCCGGGATTGTAGTTGGGAAAAGCCCTCCTGCTGCTCTAGCCTCTCCTTTCAAAGACTTGAATGTAGTCTCTCAATTCATTCAAAGCCTGGATTTGTGAAAGCCAGTTGGTCTCCCTTCTGCCCATTTATAACTGAGGTTGCACTCTTCTGGATAAAAATTGTCAGTGACTTTCTCATTTCCCACCATATAAAACTCAGTCTGGTACGTAACTCATTTTGGCCCAAGCTTCTTGATCTTAATGCATTACACCCCCCATTTCCTGTTTTTCTCTTTACTCATACCACAATTAGATTCTCTGCCTCAGATCCCATATGTACCTGATCCTTAAGGTCTACAACCACCCCCATTCAATTCTTTCTGGTCCCCTCTTCCAACGTTGAAAGTAATCTGTTACGTACTTTCAGCATTTTCTTAAGGTACTTCCTGTTCTGTTGTGTGTTAGTATTGTTTTTACATATGTTACAATATTTTACACCTCCTATATAACATTGACTGATTTTTGATGATCCGCTGAGTTAAGTCTCTGTGTGTTGTTATGATGGGTTAGGTGTGATGTCATCTCGTATCTCCTCCCATGTTGCCTTGTATTTAGTAGATGCTCATTGTAAACACTGGGTGACTGAATGAATGGAATGTCATGATAGCGAGTTATTGACCGCCAGACATTTCTCTGCTCTGCTGGAATGGACATTTAGGGACAGAGAATCAGCTAGAGATCTAAACATGTATGGCATGGCTGTCCAAACCAGAGCTGCTTCCCACAGGGGACGCTGAAGAAACAAAGTACAGTTCAGAAATCTTTTAGATTATGTTAAGTAGCTTAAGACTGACAGGAAGGAATGACTTTTACTATGTAAAATCTTTTGGGCTGAATAGGAAATTGAAGAGCAACACAGGCTTTGTGAATAGTGACTGTAGTCCTGAGTTCAGAACGTTTTTCAAAAGTTCCGAGTTGGGAAATAAATACTGTCAGATCTGCTATCATGCTTGTTTTAAAAGTGGGGATTTATTTGTACATTATTGATATTAGGGAATAATTTGAGTGTAATGTAAATCTTACATTTGTTGTGTGTGATCGCTGCACTAAGCCGCATCGGAACACAGAGTGCACATGGACACACACACCTCCGACCCCTGCCAGATTCCTTACCTCACTGCATGTTATGATCCATAGTCACCATATCTCATTATATAACTTTCCCTTCAATTTCAGATAACTCTTCTTCCTCCATTTCACCTCTGCAACCCTTTGGACAGCCAGTTCCACAAGCAAAGTCCAGGTCTTTTTCAAGGTAAGGTGGGTGCCATGTTGTAGTTTTGATTTGTTTTTTGTTTTGTTTTTTGACCATTTAACATGAAAAACTGTGCTATGGTCTTTATTAGGCTGTTATTTTTAAAAATTTTTTGTATTTTATGGATTACTTACCCCATCTTCCCATAAGCCCTGTGGTTTTAATGACGTGATTTTGCATAGCAGCGTGATTTTTAGGAATGCATATGTTGCATCATAACAGAACTGACTGTACTAATTGATAACATGCAGAGTATGAACTGACATCTCTTTTTCTCTCTCTCTTTCTTTCTCTCTCTCTCTTTCATTTCAACCCTCCCTCTCCCTTCTCATTTAATGCTGAAAGACACTAAATAGTCCTTGTAAGGAGGAACCCAGTACCACAGACCAAAATGTCAAAGGACTTGTTTAACCAGTGTTCCTAAAAAGTGTGGGGGTGGGGAGGGCACACATTTACTGGTTTGTGAAATAAAAAGAAAGGCTCAGAAGCAAGTAGAGACTGAAAAGTTAACATAAAAGGCCTTGGCCCCTGGAGTAAAAAACTATCTTATCCTTGAATAATAATAATTGTGTTTAACATTTTTGAAGCCTTTGTTATGTATTAGGCACAATGAAAAGTGCTTGACATAGATTATTCCATGTGATTTTTACAGACACTATAAAGTAGGTCTTATTACTGTCTTTATTTTATAGCTGAGGAAGAAATGGCTTACAGAGGTTACCTTGCCCAAGGTGGATAACTCATACATATGAATGGCAGAGCCAGTTCTTAAATCAAGTGTAGCTTTTGAGCCGTAGACCTTTGTGGTCTCTTAGAGTACCGTGTAGATTGTGAATAGATAACTTCCACATGTGTTATTTCCTTTGCACTTACCTGTGTCTGGTTGGCCTCACAGACTGTTTTGACCCTGATGATAGATGGAGAAGGAAGGTACTCAGACTAAAGCAGTAACAGAAACTCATAATAGACACCTAACTCAGAGTTTTAGCCCATTGGGATTATACATAAAAAGGGAGAAAAATTGAGCAGTCAGCATTAAGGAGGTGAGCTGAACTAAGGAAGAAGAGAAAAAGTGATTGTGTTGGAAGTTGAGGACAAAAAGGTGAATTTATAAGAATATGTCACCACTGAAAGGTGGGAGCCTAATGGATAATGAGCATTAGGGGACCTCTAACTCCATGGTACGTGAAGCCCAATCAGAGTCTCATAAAGAAACTCAGTTTCCGGACAGGAAGGTGGTGAGAGAAATTTGAGGCCATGAGCATAATAAATTGATTATGCGATTAATCCTGATTTGTAGTAGGCCCAGAAAAAGAAATAAAACAGGAAAAAGAGAGGAAAGATACTAGAGGAAGTCTTCAAAAGGCTTTATTTGTATTTCTTTTGTAGTACTTACTGCGATTTCTTTAGGTAGTCGGTTACCTCACATATAAACAAGTGAGGTTCGGTAAATAGCAGAGAGAGTAGTTCTTCAGTAGAGTGTTGATTAAGAGCCAAATATTACACAGGTAATAGGATAAGTAAAGGTGGAATTAATGAGTGTTTATAAACTTAAAGCTGGGGATCAGCAAACTGTGAATAGTGGGCTGTTTTCTTTCTATGAACCAAGAGTGGTTTTTACATTTTTAGTAAAATGTTTTTAATGGTTATTAAAAACAAAAATGAAAACGAAGAATAACAACAGAGACCATATGTGGCCCACAAACCCCAAAGCTGACCCTTTATAGAAAATTTGTCAACCCCTGACCTGAAGTACAACCCATGAAGCAAAAGAAGTTACACTCCATCCTTTTCAGGAAATTAGGTTAGGTAATGGAAATGGGTATTACAGTAAATAGAGGGCTACATTTTCAGACATGTACTTTCCCCCCTACTTGTAGGAAGGAATTGATATTTATTTAGTATGATATTTTGCTAGGGGTTTTGTGTACTTTATAACCTTGTAAAATTATAACTACTTTACAAAGGAGGAAATTAGGCTCATAAAGGCTAAGTAAACTTAAGGTTTCACATTTGATAAGTAGTGGGATTCGTGTTTTTCTGAGTCTCCCAGATAAGAAAATGGTGGAGAAAAGCTGTAAGAATTGAGTATGGCTATTCACAGTTTTGGCTTGAAAATATTTAAATAGAAATCAGATGTAAACATTTGTAATAACTTTAGCTGGTACCTAAAATATAAGCAACACATTTCAGTTTTGTGTGCCAAAGTAGGATTGGTTGGAGAACTGTGTAATTTTACTATACATTTGCATATGAAGAAAGATCATTGAATACACTGTATTTAGATTTATAAAGAAAATGTAAAGAAAAATTCAAGTCATATTAAATACTTAGCCCTGGCCAGTTTGGCTCAGAGGTTGGAGCTTTGGCCTGAGGACCAGAGAGTCCTGGGTTCGGTTCCCGCTAAGGGCATGTACCAAAAAACAAAAACAAAAAACAAACTTAAAATAATAGTCACCTAAAAGAAATATGAGACTTAAAATGTTTTCAGTACAACATGCAAAATAGAAAGGTGTATCTGAGTCAATAAAAAGTGTGCCAGGCAGCAGTGGATTTTTGAAAAGCAGATATTAGATACTGGCCCATATGTTTAACCGTAAAGGTTAACTGTATGCAGAAGTTTTCAGGGTGCTATGGAAACATGTAATGAAGGACCTAATATAGATTGTTGGGTCGGGGCAAGACTTCTCCCGAGGGGTCATTTAAACTGAGTTACAGGAGTTACGCAGCAAAGACAAAGGATGATGATTCCAGACAGTGTATGATAAGCCTTGAGGACAGAAAGAGCTTGGCATATTCAGAGGACTGTCAAAACAAGACTGTTGAATTCCCAACAACTCTGAGGACAGGAGTTACATCTGTTTTGTTCATCATTGTCTGTCCAGCTTCTCACATGCAGTTCCTGCTGGCACATGGGAATCCCTCAACAAGCTTTATTGGATTCATAATGAATGAGTGGACATTGCGCTCCACAATTTGTGGTATAATTATGAGTACAGGGATTGCCTGGATGACGGCTACTCCCCTCCTTTCTGAAGCCGACCTAATTATATTAAAGTCAGACTGGCTGCAATCCCTTATCACCCTCGGCCACTCTCAGCCCACCTTTCCCAAACCTGAACTGCTGTCAAGGTGTCTGAATGGACCTCGACCTGCAGGCAGTCTGCACAGAAAAGTAAGGAAACAGAAATGGAGAGCCTTTACTTGGATATGATCCTGAGAAGGAAAAGTGAATTTGCATTATGACAACGTCAGGAATAAATCTGACAAAGAATGAATGTAGCCACTTTTCTAAAAACAACCAGCTGAAGATGAGGGTGTTTGGTACTAAAACACGTGGTCCCAGGTTCTCTGGGTGATTGCCGCTTGACCAGAGAACACATGATATCAGGCTTAGCAGTTTGATGAAGTGAAATACTCAAAGATGCCCTATTTGTGGGGCTTATTTCTTCATAATCAAATTTGAACCTGTAAATTAAGGTAATGTCGCTTACAAGTTTGGGTGCATTGAGGAATTTATGAAGTAGGAAGAGAATGGGGAGAGGGTTGCATATTTCTTTGCCAAGTGTGTGAAATAAAGTTGTAGTACATGTGGAAGAACTACTTGACAAGGTGTTTACCCTAAACTGGAGGTGAAACAGGTTAACAACAACTAAGGAGAGAGAGAAGAGAACTTTTGGTGGGAAGGCAAATGGAAGTTGGAGACAGACAGAAAGAAAACCTTTCAGGGTTATTCTTGAATGTTAATCTTTGAGTTAAAAAAATAATAGTAGCCGATAAGTAGTAAAAACGCATGTACAGCTGATTACACAAGAATTTAATAATGACACTTGTATATACTTTACTTCAGCCTCAACTTCAGTGAACTCTAGTTTACCGCCATCATATGGTTGCGGGTTTAATGTGGAGTTTGAGGAATTTCTTACTGGATGTCATAAATCTGCTTCCTTAGGAAAAGAGTCATACAGTATTGGCTAGCATATGTGGTTAAGTGCTTGTTAAGGGTAGTTTTGTTTTGATCAGCAAGGGAAAAAGAAAGACAACCCCCCTCCCCCAGCAGATACTAAAAGGTTTCCTGAGGTTGTGTTAAGGGGGATTGGTGGTACTGGCTTGTGGAAAACCCTTAGTTATTTTTTTTTAACAGTTTCTTTTTTAGGTTAAAATTACTTGAGTTAGATATTATCAAGGTTACTTGGCTCATTACCAGGAACAGAGGATATTTTAACTATTGCAGTTAACAATTGAATTTTCATAAGACATTGGGTTAATGATAACTTCTTAAATGAAAATTACAGACATGTTTCTTATGCCTTTTAAATCTTTTAAAGTCGTAACAACTTTTGTGAACATTCTTTTGTAATTCTTATTGATATTTGCCATGGAACTTAATAATGGACTAATTAATGATAAAAGAAAGTCTATGTCTTTTTTTCTTTTATTACTTTAAAAGTTTGACCTTAGCCCTGGCCAGTTTGGTTCAGCGGTTAGAGCGTCGGCCTGCGGTCCTGAGGGACCCGGGTTCGGTTTCCGCTAAGGGCGCGTACCTCCGTTGTAGTTTGTCCCCGATCCTGGTCGGTTGTGTGGGTGGCAGCCACTCGATGTGTTCCTTTCACATCGATGTTTCTCTCTCTCTCTCTGTTCCTCTCTCTCCCTCCCACTCTACCTGAACAAAAAATGGAAAAATGTCCTCGGGTGAGGATTAAAAAAAATAAAAAAAAAGTTTGACCTTAGAAGCCATCTAATTCAATGTATGTATAGTGTGTGTGTGTGTGTGTGTGTTCTCTTAGGAATACTAATGTATTTTACTGTGTTTAGTGCATGTTTTTCTGAAAGCTTGTATGTATATTAGATTGTTTAATTTTTTTTTCTTTATTGATTTTAGAGAGGAAAGGAAAGGGAGAGAGAGAAACATCGATGAGAGAGAACATTGATTGGCTGCCTCCTGCATGCCCCCACTGGGATTTGGCCCACAACCTGGGCATATATCTTGACTGGGAATT